ATTATGTTTATCTGCAATTAGTTACACAAATTCAGATATGGAGCTTTAATAAGTTGTACTTACGCACAATCTACTTGTAATCTTGAGTTTTAAGTTATATGCATTAATAAACAGTACTTTAAGCATAAAAAATAGTTTTTAAGAGTTTTTGTCAAATGCTTTATAATATAGTATAGATTATTTTTTTTAGTAATTTAATTTAAGTTTAATAATGATATAATTTATTTTTGGTTTAACAATATAACATTTTATGAAGATAATAATTAAGTATTCTGTTAGAACTAATGATTATCCTAATTATATTTTAGATTTTTTATATTTAAAATTAAATGTTTATCATGTATTTGATTGCGTTTATCTGCAGTTAGTTACACGAATTCAAATATGGAGCTTTAATAAGTTGTACCGACGCACAATTTACTTGTAATCTTGAGTTTTAAGTAATATGCATTAATAAACAATACTCTACGCATAAAAAGTAGTTTTTAAGAGTTTTTGTCAAATGATATATAATATAGAATATTTTTTTTATATAATTTAATTTAAGTTTAATTTATTTTTGGTTTAATATTATAAATTTTATAAAAATAATAATTAAGTATTCTGTTAGAATTTAATGATTATACTAGTTATATTTTAGATTTAAAATGAGATGTTTATCCTGTATTTGATTGTGTTTATCTGCAGTTACTTACACGAATTCATATATGGGATGAAATCGGATAAGGATGATGAGTTTAAGAGTTTTTAAGAATTTTAGCCAAATGATTATAGTATAGATTTAATATACCAAATGCATCCTTAATAAATAAACGAAAAAATCTCTTAACCATTTAAATGATATTTGAATTTTATTAAATGTGAAAGATGTTATTATTTGGAAAGCAAATAAAATGATAAATAAGGAAATGTAAAGACCGTTGCTTAATTATTTAATTAAAAAAGAAAAAGAAAAAACAGAACCGGTCATTACGTTTCCACAAGTCTCGGGACACTGTAATGATATAGAAAGAAACCGTTATAAACTAACAACACTCCTCCATAGCTCGATTCCTTCATCTCTCTTAAATTTCATCGACCTCATTACGATTTCCTCTTTCAATCAACCATATTCTATTGCATTTTTTGTAGATTAACAAGAGCATCTTATTGATGTTTGAGGAATTCAAAGTTTCGCGGCATTTTGTGGATTTCTTCATGGCGACGATGACGAGAATCTGATGTTTTCTTCGTCATTTTTCTTTAGTATATTCGTTTATTTCTTCCGATCTTTCAAGGTTTAAGTATTACGCACATAACTGGATGTTGTTTGTAACAGAAGAGAAGTCGGTTTGATTTCGAGATTTGATCCTTGGCTTTGTTTGAACAAGTAGATTTGTAGGGAGACCTATAAATAAGAATAAAATAGTTAGCGAGTGGAAGGATTTTAAGGAGGAAAAGTGATGGAGAGTTATTTGAATCAAAATTTCCATGCAGTTAAGTCGAAACATTCTTCCGACGAGGTGTTACAGAAATGGAGGGGTCTGTGTCACGTTGTTAAGAACCCTAAGCGGCGGTTTCGTTTCACCGCCAACCTCTCCAAGCGCAATGAAGCTGCTGCTATGCGGCGTACCAATCAGGTCAGTCCTCTTATATATATGTTATTCGACTCTTTCTCTCATTTACACAAACAAATGGTGATTGTCATCGCAGAACAGATCTACGATTGACAATCATGATGCTAGCATGTTTTATATTCAAAGCAGTTAAACAGAGAGCACTTTTATTTGGAGAAATCATGCCATTTCATTGATTTATAAATGTAAGATTTGAGATACGTATGTTGTGATTTACGGTTATTGTATTGCGTATTGTTGAACGTGAATTTATGTGGTCGGATTGAAAATAACGATCAAAGCCTATTCAAGTACAACATACGATATAATATCTATGAAATTTCGAGTAACAAATTCAATTTGTTCTAATATTAAGCTGAAAATGTTAGATTTGATCGATGTATGTGAGCTCTTTGCGAAGCGAACTGAGAAGGTTTCCTTCTCTGTAGTGTAGATCACTAAAACTATTGGTGTATTTGTTGGGCTGTAAGGTTGATTTTTATTTTAACCGACCGTATCTTGCAAGGCCTTCATGTTTTTCTGTATTTGGCAATTGAAGTTTGCATTTTAAGTGATTCCATCTCAGTAGTTGCACATTAGTGACTTACCAATCTTGACTTGAATGATTAGGAGAAGTTGAGGATTGCGGTTTTGGTGTCAAAGGCTGCATTTCAGTTTATACAAGGCAAGTTTGTAATGCTGCTATATTCAAATTTCTCTGATTCCTCCATTCTATGGCCGATGTGTGCAAACTAGCTGATAAGCCGTTTGTTGGTTGAAAAGCTAGTTATTAGTTTATAAACTAGTCACGTTTGGTTAAAACTAGCTTATAACCTAACTTATGGTGTCTTTTACATGGCCATAATGTTTTTCCTTTTACACTACTTTTATGACATTATGTATGCAGGAGCACATACGGGCGACTACAAGGTTCCTGAGGAAGTCAAAGCTGCTGGTTTTGACATCTGTGCTGATGAGGCCGGCTCTCTTGTTGAAGGTCATGACCTTAAAAAGCTTAAATTTCATGGTGGAGTGGAGGGTCTTGCTGAGAAGCTAAAGACATCAATCACCAATGGGCTTTCTATTGATAATGAAGGGCTAGTCCGCAGACAAGAAGTGTTTGGAATCAACAAGTTTGCTGAAAGTCCACAGCGGAGCTTCTGGGTGTTTGTATGGGAAGCCCTTCATGATATGACCCTTATGATCCTTGCAATGTGTGCCTTTGTCTCTTTGATTGTTGGGATAGCAACAGAAGGATGGCCAAAAGGAGCTCATGATGGTCTAGGGATTGTTGCAAGTATCCTGCTCGTAGTGTTCGTAACAGCAACAAGTGATTATAAACAATCTCTACAGTTCCGGGATCTGGACAAAGAGAAGAAGAAGATAGCTATTCAAGTTACGAGGAGCGGGTACAGACAAAAGTTGTCAATATATGAGCTACTTCCTGGTGATATTGTACATCTTGCAATAGGAGATCAAGTCCCTGCAGATGGTCTTTTCCTTTCAGGTTTTGCAGTCTCTATTGATGAATCTAGTTTGACAGGAGAGAGTGAACCAGTTATGGTCAGTGCTGAAAATCCTTGGTTGATGTCTGGAACTAAGGTCCAAGATGGCTCATGCAAGATGTTAGTTACAACAGTGGGGATGAGAACTCAATGGGGAAAACTAATGGCGACTCTTAGTGAAGGGGGAGATGATGAAACACCACTGCAGGTTAAGCTAAACGGAGTGGCAACTGTCATTGGAAAGATTGGTCTTTTCTTTGCCGTGGTGACTTTTGCAGTTCTAGTGCAAAAATTATTCTCTCGTAAGATCTTAGTAGGAACACAATGGAGCTGGGCTGCTGATGATGCTTTAGAATTGTTGGAATACTTTGCTATTGCAGTTACCATTGTTGTTGTGGCGGTTCCAGAAGGGCTGCCACTTGCTGTCACACTGAGCCTTGCATTCGCAATGCAAAAAATGATGAATGATAAGGCACTTGTTCGCCATCTTGCGGCCTGCGAAACTATGGGGTCAGCAACAAGTATATGTAGTGATAAAACTGGCACATTAACGACCAATCGCATGACGGTCGTCAAATCATGCATATGTATGAATGCCAAAGAAGTAAGCAAACAAGGAACATCTGATATCCCAGAAAAAGCATTAAAAATGCTTCTACAATCAATATTCAATAATACAGGTGGAGAAGTTGTGAAAAACAAAGAAGGGAAACAAGAGATACTAGGAACACCAACAGAGGCGGCAATATTAGATTTTGGGTTGTTGCTTGGCGGTGACTTCCAAGCCGAGCGTGAGGCATCCCAGATTCTCAGAGTTGAACCATTCAACTCTTCAAAAAAGCGGATGGGGGTGGTGTTGAAGTTTCCGGGAGGAGGTGTAAGAGCTCATTGTAAAGGCGCTTCAGAGATCATCTTGGCTGCTTGTGACAAGGTGATGAATGCAAATGGAGAAGTTGCTTCTCTTCAAGAGGGATCCTTAAACCAATTAAAGAATACAATTGACCAATTTGCTGGTGAAGCTCTTCGAACTCTTTGTCTTGCCTATATAGACCTGGAAGGTGGTGTGTCTGCCGAAACTCCCATTCCATCTTCTGGGTATACTTGTATAGGAATTGTGGGTATCAAAGATCCTGTTCGCCCAGGTGTGAAGGAGTCGGTTGCTCTTTGCCGATCAGCTGGTATAACCGTTCGTATGGTTACAGGAGACAACATAAATACGGCCAAGGCCATAGCTAAAGAATGTGGAATCCTTAGAGATGGCGGAATAGCAATTGAAGGTCCAGATTTCCGCGAGAAGAGTCTGGAGGAATTGAATAATCTGGTTCCCAAGATTCAGGTTCATATTCCATTTTGTATAACATATGTTGGCTAGTGACATTACATGATAATGGATTATGTTAGAATATGTGGAACCCCATTAAATTACTCTCCAAAAGAGCACTTGAACATATGCCCGATGTGACTCTAAGACAGCCCTTCCAAAGGAGGCTAGATGGGCAAAGATGTCTCAAGTGTTGAGTCCTAAGCATAGATGTCTCATATGGTAGATATTGGCTCTGATACCGTATTAGAATTTGTGGAACTCCATTAGATTACTCTCCAAAAAAAATCCCTTGAGGATAGGAGGGGTTTCAACATATATGAAAAAGAAAGACTCCAAGTCTAGTTGTTATGGAACTCTAACATATTAACCTGGCATATATTCTTGCTTTATATAGGTGATGGCTCGATCTTCACCTTTAGATAAGCATACACTGGTGAAACACTTGCGTACCACATTCGGGGAGGTTGTGGCAGTTACGGGTGATGGAACAAATGATGCCCCAGCACTTCATGAAGCAGATATTGGGCTTGCAATGGGCATTGCTGGAACTGAGGTAAGCTAGGAAGGTTTTAGCATAGTTTTACCAGATAGATATGAAATATATGCAAAAAAGGTTTAAAAACAATTGAATTCTGATGCATCTTTTCACCAAACTTCAGGTGGCCAAAGAGAGCGCAGATGTCATAATTCTGGACGACAATTTCTCCACCATTGTGACCGTTGCCAAATGGGGACGATCGGTGTATGTAAACATTCAAAAATTTGTGCAGTTTCAGCTGACTGTCAACATTGTTGCTTTGATGGTGAACTTCACCTCAGCTTGTTTGACAGGTACAAGGCCTTGCATCATCTCCCATCTTAAAGCAACAGTTGTACATACTTCATATGATATAAAAAGCTACTATTAGAGTCCTATATCGGTTAGACTTGGACACTTTCTCCTTAATATATGATGAAACATCTTTTCTCTCCAATGACTTTATTTTGGAGAGTAATCTAGTGGGATTCACATATTCTATCAATTCGTGGTATCAAAGCCAATATCTACCATATGGGACATCTTTGCCTAGGGAGGATGTAATGCGTTAGAGTCCACAATTCTAACATGGTATCAGAGTCAATATCTACCATTCGGGACTTCTTTGCCCGAATGTGTATTAGAGTCCTCCCACATCAGTCAGACTTGGAATTTTCTCTCTACTATATGTTGAAACTCAACTTCTCTCCCCAAGACAATAAATCTAATAAGGTTTCACATATTCTAAAAAGTACTGATTGCAACAAAGTACTAGGATCATCTACTCATTTTTTGTCCTCATATATTATTACGACTTTAGGAAGCACTCCCCTCACGGCTGTTCAACTCTTGTGGGTGAACATGATCATGGATACATTGGGAGCACTGGCACTAGCTACCGAGCCTCCAAATGATGCACTAATGAAGAGGGCTCCAGTCGGAAGGCAAGGGAATTTCATCAGCAACGTTATGTGGAGGAACATATTTGGGCAGTCTCTTTACCAATTCGTAGTGATATGGTTACTACAGTCAAAAGGGAAATCATTTTACGGCCTCTATGGATATAATTCTGATCTCATCCTCAACACACTAATATTCAACTCATTTGTCTTCTGTCAGGTAACTACTTCTTATAAAACGACTTCCTTTCTTGTTTTTTTTTCCCAATTCATAAAGAGAGAAATGACATTTGGGTATTTAACAAGATTAAAGTGGTAGTTAATATATCTCACTAGTTTGCGTAGGCAACTTGGCTGATAAGCTGGCTGTTAGCCGAAAAATTAGTCATGTTTTAATAGAAACTATCTGATAAGTTAGATGACGTAAACGACCTAAAAGTACGTATTGAAATCCTTAAAGCCCTATTTTAGTTGATGCATTCACCCAAAAACCCATTTCTAATAGGGTCTCTGATAGGTTCATATGTTAATGTTGATAATTAATTGGAAAAATAGAGGCATATAACTGGAAAAAAAAGAAGAAGAAGTGGAGCTTATGGAAATGCTATTAAGCTAGCTAAATGGGGATTTTTCAAAAAGGTCAAAAAACAAGTTAATTTATGATTGTGAAACATGGTCGTTGGATCATATACTCGTATTGACATGATGACGTGTTGCAGCTTTTCAATGAAGTTAACTCGAGAGAAATGGAAAAAGTGAATGTGCTATGTGGCATATGCAGCAACCATGTGTTCCTGAGCGTTCTCGGTGCAACCGTCATCTTCCAAATCATAATAATCGAATTTCTGGGTACCTTTGCAAATACAACACCACTAACAATGATGCAATGGTACTACAGCGTTTTGACCGGGTTTTTGAGCATGCCGATTGCGGTGATATTGAAGATGATCCCTGTTTGAGTTCAAATTTGGCAAAGCAGCTAGTTGAGTTCTCATCTCTAAGCTTTCTGAAAGATTGTTAGGTCTAGAAGCTTCTTCTTTCCATCAAGATATTATTTGATGAGCAGGTTTGCATACATCATACCTCAGACCCCATTTTCAGGTGAGATCGTTTGATTTGTATTAATTTGATGGGCATTCTTGAATGGGTACAACTTCATTATAGCCATCCCATAGATGACTAGAAGAAATTAAAACCTGAGATCTTACTAGCTACTACCATAAAAAAGGATTGTGTATTCCATAAGATCTCAGATTTCACTTTTGTTTTAGAATTTTTCCGGCCACATTTAACTCGACCGAACGTGCATTCAAGTATCTCAAGGATGGAATCTCTCGATGTACACGGGTTTGGGGCTAATTTTGTGGTTCTTCATTTAATTCTTTTGAATTGCTTACTTAGAATTTAGAAGCGTGCTTATTGAATTTGATCTTGAATGAAATTATCGTGTAAAGTTTCTTTAACTTGTAATTCCAATTCTATATTAAAATCATAAGGTGTGTAAGGACTAAGAAGGATCCATAGAAAAAGGTACGAGCCAATGTTTGAGTACGTGGCACAGGCACTATTTTGCTGAAATGTAGAACCCATGCCATACTCCTAAAGGAGTGTGAGAATACGTAAAACCTCATTTCATTATCCTCCAAAAAAGTCATTTAGGAGAGAAGAACGTTCCATTTTTCAACATATATCAAGAAAAAATTGTCTTAAAATTTAACAAATCAATTATGGATACTGAGTTTATCATGACTGATATCTTACAACAACAATTTACTAGGATTAGTCCGAGTATAGCTTCGAGACACCTGAACAAGTTGTTGATAGATGACATCATCTTTGACCCGATAAAAAACAGTAAACTTTTAATAAATAGCCCCTTAACGATACAAATATCTACCGTATTCAATCTTCAAATTAGTCCTAGTCTTTGGAACAACATTCCCAAAAGAAACACCAAAACTTAAAAAAGAATTAATTTGCCTATATGAAATAATACTCTTCAAAAATTCAAAACTAAACCATTATGTTCTTGAACAACTACTCGTATCCTTCTAGCGTTTACCTAGACCACATTCCAAAATTATAAAATGCCGATTTCGAGACCTCGTCTTGTAGACGTACACAACCACCATCATCTTCTTCGTATGGATTCTCATCCGACATTCGCTCTTTTGATTTTCTATCTGTTCAACCTTAAGTAAAGCAGATACACTCATAGGTCGTCCTGTTCGAGTCTCCTCAAGACCACTGAAGATTTTCCTAGCTGTTATCTTCAGGGTCAGAGTTACCAAAAAAAGAAGGGTACACTTATTTTTTATACATGTAAGATGTATTCCCCTTCCCAAATCGTGTTCTATGGAGATGAGTATGAGCTTTCTTCATCGGAACTACTACTACGATGCACGTTATATCTGCTTACGGCTAGTAACGGTGCACCGGTTGGAACCCTGAAGGATCTAGCTGAACCCACCATGATTCTATCTTGCATTTGGCCAACCTCTTTGCATACATGATCCAAAATCCCGAGAAAATCTCTTACGATCGTAAAGATTCTAAGAGGGTATGCTCCCTCTTTCGCAGTGTCACCATGGAAATACGCGGTTACCTCTTGCACCGATGCCAACGCCTTTTTTTCGTCAATCTTGATCTTGGCAATTTCTATTTCCGCTTCTTTAAGAAAGATTCTCATCGACCGAAAGAAGTTTTCTTGAATTTCTGGCGTTTCTTGACCGACTGACCGGATTTTCTGAATCCCCATTTCGAGTTTTGCTACATAGCCACTTAGAACATCTGAATCCATTCCGGCGGCTTTCTTGACGTGCCCCAGTTCTCGGCTCAGCCCGCCAACGATCTGCAATCCTTGCTTCTTGAAAGCGCCTTCGTTGAACGTGGGATTCGTTGGAAGGTTTTTGGTATCGGAATCTATGCCTTCTGATCGGATAATTTCTTGAACTACGAAGTGAAGTAACGTCGTTTTTCCATCTGTTCCTTTAATATCTACTAGTTTTAAGAGCGTATCGAGTTTGAAAGCTGTAGCCTCGCCACGATTCGTGCCAATGTTCATCCGATTTCCTGTTAGTAAAACTGCTTCAAGAAGTTTAAGGAATAACCGGCTGCTCTTCAGTTCTTCACTTGCTGCCTGATAGAAATTTATGCATAATTAGCTTACAACTTTAAGGTAGAAAGGCAAAAGGCTCTTTGGCCTAGCGGTATCGTAGTCCTTGACCTCTTAGGAGGTCAGGGGTTCAAACCCCACCAAAAGGTGAGGAGGGTGTGTGAGTTTATTTGTTGCATTTGCCGTATATAAATATTATCTACTTCCAAAAAAACTTTAAGGTAGAAAGATAGAGAATTGAATGGAAATGAAACGTACACTATAACAAAATCGGGTTTATAAGATGTCAAAAATGTCTGAATGTCATAATAGACTGCTTTGTAAGACTTTAACGCATAAAACCATGCAACCAATTGTGTGTTATATGTAAAAGTATTACAATAGAGTTATAGAACGTTTTTTTAGCGTTTAACAAGTCTTTTAGGAAATTCTCAAAACAAGTATCGTATTAAGTTTTTTACATGACACTTTTGAAAAGTGTAATATGAACACATCTGTTTATACAATACTCTTTCAAAATAATGTCATAAAAATAATTAATAGGACGTTTTGTTTCAAAAGTATCTAAAAAAACTTGTTAAAACGCCCAAAAATAGTCTATTAAGGCACTCAAACATTTTTTACGTTTTATAAACCGGATTTTGTTGCAATAATACTTTGTTATCATTCGACTTTTGTATAACGTAATTTCAAAACATTCACTTTGGCACCTCAGTGAGATATCTCAAACATTTAGTTCAAAGTACATTACGTAGAATAAGAATCAGGGCAAAGTACGTTGCATTTTTATGCACTACTATTAGACATAAACCAGGTACCTAAATGTTTAAGATGTCACATATGAGGTACCAGAACGAAGGTTTGAAAGTACGTTATACAAAATAAGAACCGTGCCGAAGTATGTTGCATTTCCATGCATTACTACCCAACATAAACCAGGTACCTAAATGTCTAAGAGGTTGTTTGGCAGTTGCTGAATGGTTTGTTGCAAAATGATTAAGTGGTCAGAATGATTAAGAGGCTCTCATGATATAGTGTAAAATGAAATATAATTGTTTGATAATTGTTTACAAATGAAATTAGGGCGCTGAATGGTTAAGAGAGGTCCAGGATACAAAACCATTCAGCGGATTTTAGAACCATTAAGAGACAAACTCTTTTTTGCCAAACAAGATTCACCTCTTAACGATTCAGACGCGGCCTCTTAATGGAACTATTAAGAGGTAAACAAACAACCCCTTAAGATGACATACTTGAGATACCAAAATGAAGGTTTTGAAAATACGTCACACAAAATAAGAATCAGATCAGATACCGAGTTGAAAACAATACCTCTAATGTCTGAAAAGAAGATCTCAAGAATTTAACTTCATTTTCAAAGTTTGCTCTATAAAGCATGGCTTCAACTCTTCTGAATGCAAATGGGATATCAAGAACTGCCTTCAGAAACCTCTCTGCTGACCCTAATTTTGAGATGTCACCTTTATAATCCCTAAGTTTTATTTCTTCCTCTTTGGTTGGAGCCATCTTTACAAGTGTTTCCAAGAGTTCACCACCCAAACCCTCTAAATTCCCTGTTCCACCAATCAAAAAATACTCTCAGAATCAAAGCAGGTGGTCGTCCTGAGATTAGTCAGCTCGCATATAATAAGATCGGCTTATATACGACCTCAAAAATAGTTGAATGTATTAATAGACTGCTTTATATGATCAAACAATTATGTGTTGTATGTAAAAAGAGTTGCAGTAAGATATTATGATGTATCTGGATGATCTGACAATTAAGTCTTATAGGACAATTTGAAATAAAGTGATATATTATAGAACCTTTACATATACATGATAAGACAGTTTTTCAAGTAATGATATATAAAAAGACTAATATGACGTTTTACTTCAACATTGTTATAAAAGACTTGTTAGGAAGTCCAAAAACGTCTCACAGACTTATCGTAATACATGTATATATGACCCACGATTGTTTTGTTCGTATAAACTTAAGTCTGATTATGGAGTCTATCAGACATTTATATAGGAAATATAATTGTTTGTCGCGGATTATTTTCGGACTAGTGCCTCTCCTTCCTCCATGAAAACCTAGAAACCCCTTTTTCTATTTGAAATTATATTTATATCTATACTATTTTATAAAGCATTTGGCTAAAACTCTTAAAAACTCTTAAACCCGTTTATCCCTAAACGATTTCATCCCTATCCGATTTCATCCCATATCTGAATTCGTATAACTAACTGCAGATAAACACAATCAAATACAAGATAAACATCTCATTTTAAATATAAAAAATCTAAAATATAATTAGTATAATCATTAAATTCTAACAGAATACTTAATTATTATCTTTATAAAATTTATAATATTAAACCAAAAATAAATTATTTTATTATTAAACT